GAGACTACCAGTAAATCAGTGATATGAGATGTATTCAGCCTAGTTCGTTTAACGTGATATGGCAAAAAAAGGTTTGGGCTTCCTTGAAATGCCCATCTGCCCTGCGACCCAAGGGTACTCGTGGCGATGTGGCCGAGTGGTTAACGTGTCAAGCTCACATTCTGCACTGACCTGCATTTGATGAAGGAGTGGTAGTAGAATTTTTCCATAATGATATGAGCAGAGCTGATGTTTCCATTGAATTGTGCATAGTCCTGCTTTGCCAAAAGTTGTTCTCATCCAGACAGAAGTGAATTGCAATTTCGACCTCGCCTCAGGATTATTAACACCCCCAGCGGGAGTCGAATCGTGACAGTGCAGAACATGAGCTTGACACGTTTACAATTCGACAACATTGCCACAAGTTCCCTTGGGTCACAGGGCAGATGCCGATTTCAAGGAAGGCCAGGCCTTTACCATATCACATTATTTGATGAGATTTTCGATGAAGCAAACGGAGTTTTATTTAACGTGTCACACTCACATGCTGAACTGTCACGGTTCGACTCCCGCTGGGGGTGTTGATAAGACCGAGGCCAAGTCGAAACTGCAGTCCACCCAGGATGAGAACAACTTTTGGGAAAGCAAAGCTATGTGAAATTCAATGGAAAAGTCAGCTCTACTTATGTCATTGTGGGAAAGTTCAACTACTAGACCTTCCTAACCCTAAACGAAATATGGTGAATATATCTCATATAACTGATTTACTGATAGTCTCGAAACTCCACTTATATACGAAAAATCTTTAGAATAAGTCACTTACACTACTCTGATTTAAAGGAAATGTAATACTTTTAACATCTTCATTATTTCCATAAAAAACGCTACTACTAAAATAACTTAAAAGTAGCATAAATATTAGTATTTAAATGATTAAATATGGCGGTACATGAATTTTCTAAGCAAGTTTCTGATAAAAACTTGAAAGTGAGGACTGAACAGATTCAAAGGTCGATTACATCGGAAGACGACGGCGGATTCCTCCTAGCCAGCTGTCGATTAGGTTACATTCTTGTTGACGATGTTTCTTCGATTCCGGAGAAAATGTGCTAGGCCTTCGTCCATAATTTACGTACATCATCAAAACAGGGTATAATTCTTATGATCACGTTTAGGCTAACGATTCTTCTTGACATTTTAGCTTGTCATAGGCCCTTATTGTCAAAAAGTCCCTTTTGACTAACTAAAAAATTCGGTTAAAAAATATCCAGTAAAAGTGTATGCTAAATTTTTTGAGAAAATAATTACGATATTTCGTAAAAAATTGAATTTTTGTTTTTAATATAATTAAGTAGGTATTGTTAAGAATTCTTGTCTCCTAAAGTCTTATAAGGGACCGATATTTGAATTTTCCAAAAATGATATCAGCAGGCCGCACTATGCCACATAATTTTATTTATCCATACTGAACCAGACTGCAATTTCGACCTCGCCTGGGTTTCATCAGCAACCCCAACTGGAATCAAACCTGGGTATTGCAGCGTATCATTTAGATTTTTTACCATAATGTCACTCTTCCAAGGATGCCAGTTGGTTATAGTACATGCGTGGATCTCTTGGCAAGCCAGGCCTCTGCCGGACAAATTCCAAGTTTCGAAAATCTACTCAAAAACCAAAATAAAAGTTTGCTTCTTGGGCAATCCCACCATAAAGTTGAGGAAGGCTTGGTTTCCTTTGAAATTTACATCTTCCCTGTGATCCATTTCACAGTTAAGTCGGTTTTTTATAAATAATTTGTTATAGGTTACATCCGCCTCGGCTTTATTCACGGGTGAAATATAGTTAAATTTCTTAAATATATGAATACTAGTAAAGGTATAAATTGAGATATCATTAAATCCCTTAAATGTATTTTTACTTTTTAA